AAATTTTAGAAAAAAAATATTTTTGAAATTACTTTGTTTTTTCATTCGTAATCACTTGAAAGACTGATAATAGAAAATGACCTTTTCGACTGAAATATGCAAACCAGAGTTGGTTCCATAGATGAAAAAAGAAGACATAAACTTGCATAAAAAGTGTTTCTTCTCATCATAACCAATTACTTTATAAACCAGCTTTCTGATAAGTTCTACCCTGATAGGAAAACTGCAAAAAAAGAAATTTTGTGAGGCAATTTACAACCTTCAAATAGCAGTAAGGGTCATTAACCTATTGACAACTGCGCATTACCTACCGATCTGGGGCATGGGACCAACACGCCCCCGAAAGTGCGAAAATGTTGGTTCAGCCAGTTCACGCATTCCAAAATGCGTGATCAACCCGTGGGCAGCGTAGTCATCAATCAGATATCGGCATTAGTAGCAACATTCCTCTTATTAACATCTAATAACAAGCGATAACTTACCAATCTCCTAACCTTTAAAGCAAAATTGTAAGTCTTTTAAGTGAAGGAAGCTTTTTTAGCTGTTTCTGCAGCGACAAACTATGTCAGCAAAGATGAAATACACAAATACATATGAATTTTAGGACAAAAGTCATGGTTGGATGAGCAACGACGAGTTTTCATAGCTGGCGTTCTGTTCTTTGTACTATATATTCTCTTATCATCACTTTTGTTCTCCATCTCAACCGAGTTCGACTACTTCACTTCTGTGTATTTTCTGTTCAACAGTGTCGCTCTTATTGGTGAGTGGTTCTGAAAACGCTTGAGTGGAGTTAAGTTAAGAATTAATGAGAGGTAGACGAAGTACATCTTGAAGTTCACGAAAAATTGGAAATTTATAAATAATTAATCTTAACTACTTCAGGATTTGGCGACGTTTTCCCGCGGGAGCCAAGGACAATACTCGTGAATGCAGTGTTTATAGTTTTTGGTGAGCCACAAAGCAAAAGAGATGCTTTTAGTTACTTTCAAGCAAAAGCTTGGATTATGTAAATAAAACAAATCTGTTGAGAAACTTAGCATTTTTTCGGAAATAAAAGTAGCGAAATGATATTTTTAGAGGTTCTGATTCAAAACACATGCCAAATTTGCATTCTCTTTTCAAATATGAAGAGAGTTAGAAGTCAAAAAGGAAGGTTTCTGCAGT